CTGGAAGTCATGCCATAACAATTGTTCGCCCTAAAGTATAGTGGTGTGTCAATACATCTATAAAAGATCGGTCGAGAAAGCTAGTGAGCTGACACCACTCAGCATATCATGCAGTCCTTGGAGTGATCCTTTCTGTATCGCGAGCGGATCCTTAGCGAACGCCTCATTTATTGCTGCGTCATGGGACAAATGCTACAGAGCGAGTCAGTCAGAGATACTTCTCGACATTTTGCTCACAGATGCTCACCTCGATTGCGACTTGTGCGTCTATCGTATAACCGGGGACCAAGTAGCGGACTGTTCCACCGATCTTCCGCAGGAATTTCGATGCAGGTTGTGTTTGTAATATCAGTGGACTCGTTGCGATAATCCCGGAGAGTGAATCGACGGTGTCCTTCGATGGTGGCGGCTGAACTCGCGTCGCAAAGGCCAACACAAGGCCACCTCCCTATATGCGCATCAGTGACAAGTAAAATGGGTAGCAACAGCCAGAATCGAATGATATGTATGACTCACCATCGACTGCCCGAGCAGAAAAAGAGGCCGCGCGGGATATTCTTTCTTCAAATGCTGTACCCACCATTCGATATCGCCGAGCTGCTCCTTCCAACTGGTCACTCCATACGCGCTCTGCTCGCTGCGCTGCGGATCCAGAGCAGTGCGTCCGAAGCCCCGCTGATCAAAGGCAAACACCGTGAAGCCTCGTTTCGCCCAGACCGGGAGAACGCTGTCGTAGCGGCTGATGTGCTCGGTGAAGCCATGAACCAGGAGAATCACGGCCTTGGGTTGACCAGAGTCTGAGTTGTACGTGCGTGTGTAGAACTTCAACCCGTCAGGGCCCGACAACCATGTTTCCGAGAATAAGGGCGACGACATCGCAGATGACGCCCTGTGGTCGCAGGAACAGTCAGATAAACTGTTAGACAGTCGAACACGAACCTTTATGTGACCGATGATGGGAACACATGATAGAAGCACCCCGCATACGGCATCAAGCATGCGAATGCTGCACGCTGCAGCAGCGGACTAGCGCTGCATACAAGAAGGCCGCCCAGCTCCCAGCATGGTAAAGCGGCGTATCGCGTGCCTCGAATTTGCTATACGTGTATGCCCACTCCCCGAGTCGAAGCTCAAAAGCCCGAAGTGCGGTGATGTCGGAAAAGAGATTATCGCAGCTATTCCATTCACAAGAGAGACTTCTCGATGCCATCTTGGCCACTTGGGCGGGTCTTGATACCTTCTGGAAACACTGATCAACGTTGTGCGAGACGAAGTGATACATAGCACAGACATGCATGGAAAGACGACAACAAGGTAATTCGAGTAAGCTCTGTAAGCTTCGCTGATATTGCTAAAGCGCTAGAGATCGAGTCGAAGCATAACCGTGAGTTTCTTCGAGTACAGGCCGCCCTCGTGGGCACCTCCGAGTGACTTCGCTAACGAGATCTTGAAAGGTGGCAGACGAGCACGGACTGGATTCCGGGTTATACTTAGACACCACGGGTAACACGAGTACTCATCGACTCTGCATCTCATATCAGAGAATGTGGGTATTTATGCGCGATGTATGTACAGAGATTAAGCGCCGCAGGTAAACCAGCGCTCAAGTAACGCTACAAGAGTATCTGTGTCGTGGAATCAATCATTTGTGCACATAATAAGTGTCATGACAGAGTCCTTAATGTCAGCCCCGGTGCGTCACTCGCCGCAGAAGAATGAGGGATGCTAATGTTTACCAGCGGGTCCAGGCGCTGTTAGATCATCCGTTCCGATCAATATTGGCCACGGGGACGTTCTCTTCATGTTCGACGCTCGGAGATCTTTCACCCGTCACAAACGATCTGGCAATCGATGCCGCCTCATGCTGACGGATACGGATGAGGGAGCGAAGCTCCCGTCGTTTCTCGCGGCTCTCGTGCCAGAGCTCTTTGAATTCCCGTCGGCGCACACGCTCCGCTTCAACGAGCGCCGTCGCGCGACCCGTCTCTTCCTCGAGTATATTCTTCAGCACGCGAATGCGCAACCTTTCATGGGAGAGCTAAGCATGGCGCATGCATCAGCGCTCTGGTTATGTAAATGGCTAGCAGGAGTAACAACATACAGCGAGGCGTCGGGCCAAATCCGCGAACTTTGCCTCATACGCATTAAACTTCTCGACGATGCCATGTAAGCGGTGGATCCGTGGCGGGCGCCTCGCTATCTGGTCCGCCAGCTGAGAGATGTGCCCCAAGTGTCTGCACGTCGTCGTCGTTATTATCAGCATGAGATCCACAGACGCAGCATGAATTCCCGCGATACTCACCTCTCGACTGACAGAATGAGCAACAAATGCTTGCTGTGCCACTGTCGGCCGTAGTCAGGGTCGTCCAACTCGAGCCGCGGTGGCGTGTCCTCGAGTGCCGTATCGACAGCGGTGAGCGCGGACCGGAGCGCTTCGCATGTCAGCGCGATGCTCTCCGGGTTCCTCAGGAGCGCGCACGCGCACAACGTCTGCACCGGCCCACCAAGTCATTCAGTATCCCGCCTCTCTACTCAGCCCCGGGCCACTGAGGCCCTGAAGCATAGGACTCGACTCACCTCGGATGCGCGGCGCACCGCCTCGGCGGCCGCATCTGCGCAGAGCTGGAGCCTACGCACATCGAAGTGCTCGTGCAGATCGACTTGCCATGGGGAGGATCGGCTCTCGCTCGGATTTGGGTCTGCGTTGTCGAGGAAGTACTCCGGATCAGCGCGAGAGGAGGGTGGGAGTGTCAGGATGCGCGGGCGGGGAGGCGGTGGGGGCGTGTACGTGCTGGCAAGGGTAGAGCGGCGCCGACCGAGGGCGTAGTTCTGAACGCCAGAGTCGAGCGAGGCGGAGCGTAGGGGTCGGGCGGGGCTCCGTCTGGGCGACCCGAGGGGCGGGAAGGTGTTGCGCGTGTGGGGCTCGCTGGAGTATCCGGGGTCGTCCCAGGTTCCGGCGCCGGGAATGGTCTGAAGCCAGCGCGGGATGTTTGGCGAGGTTGCGTCCTGCGAGTATGTAACACCAGAGGAGTGCTGCAGAACGTCCAACAGTGCAGATTTAGCGAGACGAGGAGCACGTACACTGTCCCGATGGAGGAGCGGGTGCGCCGACAGGACATCGGAGGGCGAGGATACGAAGTTCTGGACGTCGGTGAAGACGCCGGAGTCTGGTTCGAGCCCCGGGTTACTGACTTGGGTGTTGAGAAGAGGGACTGTGTTGATTCGCAGTAGTTGTGGTGCGAGCAGGCGTAGGCGGTCTGAATAAGAGGACGACGGTGGCAAGCGACGCGAGGCATCGAGGATGAGGCCAAGGCCAAGGCTAGGTTGGGTATTGAAGGGGGCATGTTCCTGCTGAGGAGCCCGAGGTCGTGTGATGATGTCCCTGGGTGGTACGCCCGGTGCTGGAACCTCCGCGGCCTCGCGTCGGGGCATCTTGTCGTGCGATAGTTGGAAGTCAAGGAATGGATGAGGAGAGAAGTGAGGAATGTTCGTGTACGGGAAGGGGTCGTTAAAGTCGATCTTGGGGAGAGATGGTGATGCCAGACATGGTGTTAACGCATCATCGGTACGACACCGCGGTGGGCAGAAGAGGAAGTCGGCGATTGGTGACAGATCTGGCAGTGTCTCGCTAGGCCCGAGAGTGCATAATTTCGCTTCAGGCCTGTGCGCGGAGCATAGCGTCGAGTCTGTCGAGTCGCTTCCGGAGGCGCGTGACGAGTTGCGGAGGAAGGTGTCGGGCTGGCACCGGATTAGGGATATTGGCCGAGGCGGGTAGGTGGAGATGGGGGAATGTAAGAGGGATGGGCAGGGGGAACTCATTAGGACACCGCGGACGGCTACACAGGCCTGCTGTAGTGGGATGCAATTAGACGGTTAGTATTCAGCAGGAGGTCGCCAGGTATGGAAACAGCCTCTATAGGCGCACAGCGCATATGCTCGGGGAAGGCACTGCACCCTTCATATATATGCGTTGCCCGTCTGTGACTGTACCTCCAGTGGTTGGTGAAGTGTATCCCTCGTTCGCGTGGACATAATAGCATCGTCAAGGCGCAGAGGAAGTACAATGGCTGCTCCAGAGACATGAAGAACCCGTTGTACCCATCAGCCAGGAGGCGCGCCCGTGACGCGCGAGCGGATAACATGTCATCCAGGCATTCAAGCATTGGCCCAGAGATGAAGGCGTGCGTATCCAGTAGGGCAAGTCTTGTGTGTATGCCGTAATCGCGAGAGGCTGTGCGTCCGTCAAGCACAGCAAGCACTGCTACCAACTACCCTGAGCGAGTCTAGACCAGGCCTCCAGCAGATCAGGCCGAAATAGCTCAGCTGTGCCAGTCTTACGTTGAGAGTAATCGTTGAGAGCAATGCCAGCAATATCATGAGCGCAGTGCAGTCATAGACATGCCAGGCTCAACATCCGCAGGGTGTCCAGCTTGTCATCTTGACTTGACATCGACAGATATGCGGGTGCAATCCATGCACGCCAGAAACAAGGGTTTCCGCGAGAGTGAACTACCAGCAGCGTCAACGTGCCTGTGTACGCATGTGTGTGTTCTGATTCATTGAAGAACCGAAATGAGGTATCGGGATAGCCGGGTCGAACAAGACAAGCGTGGCAGAATCGACCTGACAAGCAAGCTACTGCCTTGTATTCCCAGCCGGTCGCCGCTCCAAATGAGAGTGATGCAAGAAACGTTCGCTGGGTTTCACGCGAGAAGTATTGACCATGACAGGTGCACATTGCCAGCAAAGGGGCGCGTACCAGAGGCTTGAGAGCACGTCGTGACAAGTCGAGGCACCCGAAAGATCCAGCAGCGTTCGTCTTGTGTCCGCGGCATCATTTTACTGAACTCATCCCAGCGCTCCCATTTTGCAATCCAAAAGAGACAAGGCGTGTCGTCCAAAATGTAGAAAGTTACTCTGTACCAGCGAAAGAACGACAAAGTTGGTCAAGACTCAAGAGGAATGGAAGAGTATTGTGCAGCCCGGGAAAGTCTCAAAAAGGGCCTGACCGGGAATTGAACCCGGGACCTCTTCCAATCACGTGATACACCCGAAGAAAGAATCATGCTACTAGACCATCAGGCCAGTGCCACGTGGCTGATTCTTGCCAGAGATCATGATGTCAGGCATGCAAACATGGACTTTTTCGACAACCAACAGAACACCTCCACTCACTGAACTTTATCTACTTACCATGACTCCAGGGCCGAACCTAAGGCCTAACGTCTCTAGCATCTTTATCATAACATCATGGTGTGGACAAGGATGGTATTGGCTTTTGTGGCTCGGAAGATAGTGTACTGCACCTTGTCAGGCTATGCCGCTCCGAAATGTGCACGCTGACACCCACGTCAATTTAGACATCCTCAGTGCTCATGCGTCTCGAGACAGACTCGCAGTGTCCTCAAGAACATCAGTCACAACGCACACAGCAAAGATCTGATAGCCAAAGCAGTGGGCGAGCACAGTCATAATACATTGATCAACAACCGGGGTATCACCTGTCTAACAAAGTACAGCAATAATGGTGCTCAATCTTCCCTAGTCACCAAGATCAGCCACGCTCAGTTCTGCTGTGCATTAAACTAGTCCTGAAGCACCTGCTGCTGCTCGACGAACGTCGTCGATGCGGCGGGTCCACGCCGGGGGGGGGTGCAGGTTCTAGAGCGTCACACGCACCATCCCGCACTCGACGCTTCTCACGCGACCTGAACGTGAACGTTTGCACGTTTGTCTCAGCACACTCGGCCTCTCAAGATCTCATGTCGCAGTCCCTAGCTCGGGTTCCAAGTCATGTCCGCGCTCAACGGGATAGTAATGAACACGAACTTACTCGCCTGACCCTCGAGTGTGGCGCCCATTCTAAAAGCGGCCTAAAGCAGGAACGTTTGTGCTCTTTTCGACTTCTTGTAGGCGTTCTGGTGGGTCATCACCTCTTCACCGAAGTCCCTCGTGTCCAGGGACCTTGTGCTTATATGTAACTAAGTCTTCATAACAGATCTTCTCATGGACTCACGTGTCAGGTTTGCTTCAATCTGGCGGCGAAGACATCACCAATTTGCAACGCGGTCCCCCTTCTTGACGCCGAGCCAATTGGTACATGCACCCAAGCAGCCACTTGTCTTGAGCTAGTGTCTCCAGAACTATGCATGTGGGGCCTAAACCGACGGTGAGCTATGCCCTTATTCAAATGCCATAGGTGTGCTGGTAGTTACCGATTTCAATATGCTTCTCAAGTCTCTGCACGTCCGTGACCGGACCGAACCCCTCGCGAGCTTGGGATCATACTTGAATCCAGCGACGCCGCTGCGAGACGAATCGGTTTTCCTTCGGCTGGCGAAACTCAGCCGCGGTAGTGAGGTCGTAGCCTCGATTGAGGAGAGCCCACGCAGTCGTTAAGGCGATATCCCCTACGCCGATGACAAGGACTCCGGGCGGAGCATCGGGCTTGACTTCAGGTACGTAGTATATGTTCCCTGTTCGAAACGACGATGCGACGATGTCCGCGACCGTCCCCTGCGCAGGACATGTTTGCTCCAACAGATATGTTGACAGTCATCGAGATATGATGATTCATTGATAACTGTACTGGCCCAACTCTTCTCCGTTTCTTGACATATCATGATCAATTGCAAGTTCCCGAGACACCTCCACGGATGACGGGGGCACTGGCGTCTAGTCGGTCGATACAGGCCTCGGAGCATTGCTCGTCACTCTCCGTGCGCAATACCCATGCACTCGACGTTTCCTGACAATTACAAACAAGTTCAATCTGTGATACACTATTGTACAACGTTGACATTCCGAATTTGTCGCTGGGACTAGCATACTATAGCACGAGTATTTAGGGCCCACGCCATCTGAAGAGCCTTTCTATGTACGCAGTCAATGCGAATATCGCGTGATAAACGTGCTATCAAGTGCTCACCTCTACTGCGAAATTACAACACGTGTGGTGGATTCTGTCTTGGTGCAGTCGATCTGCACCCTTGGCTTCTGGCTGCTAATGTCCCCGTTACCTTGGCCAATACCGCCAGAATTCTCAATCGGTTCGATAACACTCGATTCATCCCCTTGGCAGGTGTTGTCGTCACTGCCCTGTTCATCGTCTTGATGCGGCTCCTTCGAGCCCTCCCGGGATCCCTTGTTCGCAGGCCCCAAGTCCGCGATCACGTCCTCGACGAGCGTCAGCACGTGCAGTGCGCACCCGAACGACAAGCTCCACCCACTCCCGGCATGCCTGCAGCCACATTGTCAACAACTACTGTAATGGACCGGTCAGACTCACGCACCCGTAGGAGTGCACAATTCGGCTATTTTCACACTCGCGCTCGACGCGCACGCCTCCGTCGCGCGCGGGCCGCAGGCCCTGCGCGATCGGATACGAAGGCGGCGCCTTGAGCGCCATCAGGTCGGTAGACAGCCCGCGGCGTATGAAGTCGCCAAAGTTCTTCACGATCTGGGTCACATCTCCAGATGTCCCGGTGAGGTCGAGTGTGTCATTGTTTGGCTCAGAGAAGCCCCCGAGAATGACGATGTTGTCGTTTCGCGGGACGATGAAGATGAACCTGGCCAATTAGCTTGTGAGCAATTTCCCGCGCGGGACCCGCACGGTTGATGAGCCTGCAAAAGTGGAACACGCACTCGCTCTTCTCGTCACCCGGCACGTTCTTCGCACTCACCACGTAGCACTCGTCGACAGTGGGAAAAATCTTCCCTTCGTTGTGCACGCGTACAACGGCGCCGCGGAGGGGGTACACTGTGTCATCGCCCGCAAGCTCCTTTGCACCGAGCCCGCTCGCGTTGACGATCACATCGGCCTCGTACTCCTTGAGCAGCTCCGCTTCACGCGCAACCAGTTTGCCCTCGAGCTTCCTCGGCGACTTGATAATACCGCCCTTCTCATTGACGAGCCTTTCGAGGCGTAACATGGCCAAGTCCGTGTCGATCACCGGCGCGCTGATCTGGTACGCGTCGTGGTACAAGTCCTCCGTGCCGAAGTCCTTCGCGCGTTCCTCAACATGGCGGAACCCAGCGACACCGCTGCGCTCAATGTTGCGCATCTTCTTGCGCTGGTCCTTGTCCTCCAGCACCTTGTCCGTGAATAAAAACGTCACGGTGCGCATTTCGACGCCAAAGCTCTCCGATACCGGCTCTCTAGCAAGCCTCGCGAAGGCGTGATAGCTGACCATGGACCAGGCTTCAGCCAGATGGGGGGATGTCCGCGCCCCGTCATGGCCGCACACAGCCGGCGGGTACTCCCAGCTATACTCAAGTCGTCAGTGATGATTAATGAACGTTGTTTCTGGCTCTTTCGCGGACTCACAGAGCGCCTGAGATCTGTGAGACGAGGCGTTCCTGACTAGATTGACAAGCTGCAGTTACAATGGTGACCTTGTAGCCTCTATCGAGGAGAGTCCACGCGGTCGTGAGCCCGATAACCCCCGCGCCGATGACAAGGACGCGCGGGGCATCGGGCTTGACTTCATTAAGGGGCTGAGGGTGCGTTGACAAGAACGTTGCTGGCGCGGTGTCAGTATCGTCCATGCAGCAATCTCACGACCAAACGCACGATGTTCTTGAGACATAGTTGAATCCTAATTATGCTGGTGTAGTTGCTGAGGCGAAGGAAGGAAGTAAGATGCTATGTGGACAGTAATTCCGGGCAGCTTTATACTGCTGCTCACCCTCATGCCGACAAGTGCCGGGCGTGAAGTGCTGGAAGCAGATGTCCGGTGCAAAGGGAGGCAATCCACAGAAATTGGCTGGCTTAACCTTGTGGACATGCGGCCCTAGTCCCGCAAGCCAGACGTTATGTGAGCACGGCTGCACCACGTATGGTGCCATCTGCCGAGCAGGGCCAACAGACGGTGACGAGACTACCGCGCCTATAGTCGCCTTTCACCACTCCGGAGCGTCCTCTTGCAGAAATGTGTGCAATGAACGTGATGTTGACAAAGCGAACAATAGGCGCCGGAGTGAACAGACATGAGAGGAAGCGCTGGCATCGGTAGCCGCCAGCACATCGAGGACATTCAACGTTTCATAGAGATATAGCCGCATACTGTCCGTCAAATGAGAAGGCACCACATGCACGATCGTGAGGACACGTTTGAGGTCGGAGACCAGGCCGAGTAAGTGCAGGTACCGACTGGTTCCGCGACAGGGGAAGTGAGCACGTTCTAGTGCCTTCGCCATGACGAAGGCAAAATCGCAGCGCGTGAGCACACACAAGAAGATCAGATTTAAAATGCTGGTTGGATTTCGGACACAAGGTCCCCGGACATGACGGAATTCGGTGAAGAGGTGGCCCACCAGAACACCTGCAAGAAATCGAAAGGAGCACAAACTATCCCGTTAGAACGTACGAACCAAACAGAAGAACCACTGGCATATTGTGAGCAGGCAGGATTGGAAGCTCGCCGATGATCTCCTGGAGTCAGCGGACACGAGGGACCTCGGCGAACAGGTGGCCTACCAGAACACCTGCAAGAAAAAGGAGCACAAGCTACCGAGGGAATGTATGAGCCAAACAGAGGAGTGGAGTAGATCGTCTCGTGCAGGCACACATAAACTGAATCACCAGCAGTACTCCGAGGTGAAGCGCGAGCTCGCACAAGAGGGTCCCATCGAGTCGTAATTAGCTGCAATAAACAAGCGAATATGTGGGCCGGTCCAGAGCTAGACGTATTGATCCGCACATGCGACAGGTGTTCCGTTTCCTTGAGTATTGAAATGATCTCTTCGCATGCGTACAGTACGCTATTGGAGAGTTCCAGCCAGTGATGCTAGTGTCCCAGGACTGCAATCCTCTGAGGGCTGCAAAGGACCGCAGTCCTTGACCAGTCCCAACCGGTCGTTGATGGTGCCGAGGTGTAAGCTCCTTGGATACCGGAATTTCTGTGATGTGAGATGCATCCCAGTTTGTGCTGTTGTGTTTGACAAGGTCAATAGCTGTCGCTTCAGCCAGTCAATGATGGAAGATAAGTGTCAGAAGGTCTTGACTATGAGTAATTTGTGACTTACATGGGGCCCGTAGTACGTACTAGAGATTATTTGCGGGCACATAGGCGCCAGTTCTGAAC